AAGCAAAAAATACTTCTGTACCTTATACTGATGTTAAGTATAAGTGTGCATTCTTATCATTGTCTCAAGAACTTCGTAATTGTCTCTAGAATTTCAATGTTTCTCTTTACAATTTCCTGTCGTTTGTCGCTCTTAATAATTTTGTCTTTTTTATTTACCTCTCCTAAACCTTGTTCCACCATCAATTTACTCAAACTCGCTAGGTAGGTTTTGCGTAGTTTTTTTTCCTGTCTGTCTTGCCTTCCATATTTCCTGTGAATATCAAATTTTCCAAGCCTTTTTTCCTCACTATGTGTCCTAGATATTTCAACGGTCTCTTACTAATATGATTTTTTCTATCGCTACCTGAGATTGCCATTTTGCAATGAAAATGTTCAAAATATACAAGCAACACTTGGGAACACTTGGAAACACTTGAGACTCCATTTTGCCATCATCTGAAAATATATAAAATATAGATAATTCAACTAAAGTTTATCGAATATATATATTGTCATAGTAATTTACACACGCACGCATGGAGTCTCTCATCTATAAATGGGAGCAGGTATTGCCTTTTGGAGAGGGAAGTTCCCAGCAGGCCGCTCTGACAGTCGGGCCGAACATTCTTGCTGTAACACTCTCGTTTGTATATGTTTGTATTACTGTTTCTGTTAATATATTTGTTTAACTCAATTCCTCTCTTTGTGTCTTTATTTCTGGCCTTAACAAGGCCACAACAAATATGTAAATCATAAAAGCAACGGTGGGATCTCACAAGAGAGACCATAGGAAAATTGCGTTCTTTTTGAGCCTCTTACTTTAATATCACAGCGTTTCAACAGAGCCAGCCATACAGAGCCATTATCTCTAGACCTAAGAGAGATAAGAAAAAGGCCATATGTTTAACTTACCTACCATTCTAGAACTGGATCTGCTGGCTTTATTTTCCTGCTTTCATATGTGGCTGTCACGTGACATTCTACGTACGGGTAGATAATTGTTTTTACTGTTAGTAAAAATAAATAATGGTGGTAGGATAATGTGCCATGCCACTTCTAAACTGGCTCTTCACAATTTCATGTCCTTTGTAGCTTTTAAGAAATTTTGTCTAAAACTTGTTACACCGTCAATTTACTAAAGCTCGCTAGCTCGGTTAGGCGTTGTGTTCTGTCCCACTTGCCTTCAATCTGGCCTGTGAGTATCAAACTTTCCAAACCCTCTTTCCCCATTATGCGCCCTAGAAATTTCAACCATCATTTCCCGTCCAATAATAAATAAATTTTAAATATTTTTAATAAATTTTGTCTTTTTGTTATTTCTCCTAAACCTTGTTCTGCCATCCATTTTACTCAAGCTCACTAGGTGGGTTATGCTTTGTTTCTCGCTGTCCCTCTTGCCTTCAATCTGTCCTGTGAGTATCAGATTTTCCAAGTCCTCTTTCCTCTTTATGCGCCCTAGAAATTTCAACCGGCTCTTCCCGTCCAGTATAGCCCTAAATAAATTTTGTCTTTTTGTTATTTCTTCTAAACCATGTTCCGCCATCCATTTACTCAAGCTCGCTAGGAGGTCTATGCTTTGTTTCTCGCTGTCCCTCTTGCCTTCAATCTGCCCTGCGAATATCAAATTTTCCAAGCCTTCTTTCCTTATTATGTGCCCCGGAAATTTCAACTGCTAAGTATAAGTCTCCTTTCTGTCTCCATCTTCTCTAAAACTTTGTCGTTGCTCACATGTTCCATCTTTGGTATTCCCGGCATCCTTCTGTAGAACCCCATTTCTGTTGCTTTAAGTCTCTTCTTTATCTGTGAGGAGATTGTCTAGCATTAACTACCATATAGGAGGACTGGTATTGCGTAACAGTTCAGTACTCTTTTTTTTTTTTGTTTCTAGCGAAATTTTTCTCTTTCTTTAAATTTTGCTTAACTTTTGAAAGGCATCTTTTTTCTATCCCAACGCGTCTTCGGATTTCAGTGTCACACTTTCCGTCCCCTGTTAAAACACTTCCCATATATTTAAGTTTTTATACTTGATTGGTATCTCCAATTTTGAGCTCATGCCTTTGCTAACAACCAGACACTCTATCTTACTTGAAGTTTATGTTTAGTCCTTTTACTCTCGCTTTCTTTCACTACCTTCTGTAGGAGCTTTTCTAGTTTTCTTTACGTGTTTACTGTCAACACTGTGTCATCTGCATATGATATGTTGTTAAAAATGTGGCCGCCAATAATGAATTCTGTCAGGACATCTAATTCTCTCAGAATCGCCACGCTGTATAGGTTGAATAAGTCTGGTGAGAAGACACACCCTTGTCTCACACTCCTTTCTATTTTTGCATATCTTTTGAACTCATTTTCTATTCGTATGCAGGCGGTTTGCTGCCAGTATAGGTTCTTGATTATTCTAATACCCTTCCCAAATATATCAAAGTTGCTGAGCAGATCTTTGTGGCGTACTTTATTGAACGCCTTTGTGTAATCTATAAAACACAGATACACGCCCTTCTTCGTTTGTATTGATCTTTCTTATAACATTCTGTGCATATATATGACGTTCCTTGTTCCAGTGCCTTTAACGAACCCGTACTGTTCTTGTCCTATCTCCAGGCTGATTCTGCTGCACGCTCTATTCATCAGAATTCGGATGATGAGTTTTGTTGTAAGGTTCATTAGGCTGGTTATAATTTATATTCGTTTGCAGTGCTATGAAAATAGATATGCTTAGGTCTTTCGGTATATCACCACTGCTGTAGATTTTATTTATTATTTCTGTGGTCTCGTCTTTGCCAAAATCGTCTAAGGCTGCCAGCATCTCTATTCTGTCTGGTTCTGTCGCTTTGTTTCTGTTCAATTTAGCTAGTACAGATTCCACTTCAGCTTTTAATATTTCCAGTCCGTTGACACCTCCATGTATTGCCGGTTGTTTTTCGTCGTGGAAGAGTTCTCCAGTATATTTGTCCCATCTTTAATGTCATTGCCCTGTTCTTGGATTTTATGCATCCTGTTGGTGAACATGTCATTTTGTTCTCTTAGTTTTCTTCTTCAGGTGGTTGGAATATCAAACTGAACCCTTTATTTCGCTCACTGGGGTAGACTGTACTAGTTCCATGTGCCATATTTAATGGATATCAGTTATCAGTTATGCCCTTTTAACTTCCCTCTGAAAGTTCTCGACTGCCTTAACCGAGTATTGAACTCATAGTCTTTGGACCCTGTCACTGGATCTAACTAACGTCTTTATCCACTGTGCCATGCGTCCTTGGAGAAAGCCAGAACGCACAACGGCTGAAACGTTTTATTAAATATGGCGACAAAGTTGAGGACAATAGTTCAAATAATGTAAATAATGTACATAATACCTTATCTCAGAAATATAGACAGATACTGAAGGGCCGAAATGTTGTAATAAATATGGCAACAAAGATGAGGACAATAGTTCGAATAATGTAAATAATGTACATAATACCTTATTTCAGAAATATAGACAGAAACTGAAGGGCCGAAATGTTGTAATAAATATGGCAACAAAGATGAGGACAATAGTTCGAATAATGTAAATAATGTACATAATACCTTATCTCAGAAATATAGACAGATACTGAAGGGCCGAAATGTTGTAATAAATATGGTGACAAAGATGAGGAAAATAGTCCGAATAATGTAAATAGTGTACATAATACCTCATCTCAGAAATATAGACAGATACTGAAGGGCCCAAATGTTGTAATAAATATGGCGACAAAGATGAGGACAATAGTCCGAATAATGTAAATAGTGTACATAATACCTCATCTCAGAAATATAGACAGATACTTATTTGTTTTATATTAAATCATAACTTCGTGCATTATGTAAGCGATTTACTTTCAGAAGTTTGAATAAATGAGTAGTGTACCAAATTTTAGAAGAGATAATAATGGGTACCCCACAGAAAACGTGATAGCCAAAATTTAAAATGAATTTTTAAAAATGAAAAAATCTTTCTTGATGGTTTCATTTTAATTTCAAATTAAAAGATTAAATTTAATATTTCCAATAAGCTAAATACTTCAGTATTTCAAAACTAATTTAAAGTGACTGGATGGATTTTTTTTAAATTATTTTTTTTCTAAAATAACCGATTAGCGCCATTTTGAGACGCCTTTCATCGTAATTTAATTCCCTTATAACAAAATCTTCCAAAAATAAAATATACTTTTTTGAAACATTATTTAAGGAATATTAGCTGATTTAAAGTATAATTAATCTGATTTAAAGATCTACTTTGAACTAATATCATCACTAAAAATTATCTCGTTGAATTTTTTGACTTTTCATAAAAGTAACTAAGTGGCGTGTAACACATGTAAAAATAAAAAATATTTGTACTAAGATTTTCTAAAAGAATACATTTTTAAAATAATTTCATTAATTTCTGAATAATACCTGAAAGTTTTATTTAAATCCGAGCATTATTTGATTTTTGCAAGAATTTCCAAATCAATGTCCTTCAATGCAAAAAAGATGCTAAAATTTGCTATGCTAATCTGTAGTTGATCCGCTAAAGCAAGAAAAACAAGATTTTTAACCAAAATTCCGAATGTTCTAAAACATGTTAAAAAACATAAGTAAATGATCAAAAAATCTTTTGAACTTTCTTCTTAATAAATAAAGCTTTTGAGGATAAAAACTTAGTTTTTATCAAGTTTGGTGCATTTTTTCATCATGGTATGCTATTTTTTAGCGATTTTGTGAAGGTTCCTAGAAAACAAAAAGAAAAAAATATTAAGAACAGGGAATTGAGAAAAGCCGTATGATCCTGAAGCTACGCAGCACATAGAAGATTGTTATATATTCATAAAGATCAATTACTCAACTGATTATCGATACAAATAGCTTACTTACGAAGAATACCGAATTAGAAAGAGAAAGACAAAGCTCGCACGCGAGTTTGCATATGTGAGTGTGTGTGTGTGAAAGAGAGATAGAGAGAAGGAAAGCGAGAGACAAAAGTGTGTTTGATTAATAAGAGAGAATAGACAAGACTTGAGTAAGATAAGAAAGAAAATGAGAGGGAGTGGATGCGGAAAAAAAGAAAGGTTGGAGAGGCACGAGTAAGACGAAGAGAAACAGGATAGGAAAAGGGTTATGTGAAATTGGGAAGAGAAAGAGAGAGAGAGAGAGAGAGAGAGAGAAGGAGATAGAAAAAGCGAAATGGAAGGAGCGATAAAGTAGGAGAGAAAAAGTATATACAAACGTGAGAAAAAAAGAGAATGGAGAATGGAAAGAGAAAAATTGGAAAGATGAAGCCTGAATGATATGAAAAAAGACAGATACAATGGAGAGAAACGGGCTGTGTGTGTGAGAGGGAGAGAGAGAATGTGAAGTGGAAAGAGAGAAAGAGCAGGAGCGACAGGAATGGCGAGAGAGTGGAGACAAAAAGCTCTAAAACGAGAAAGAGAGAAAGAAAGGGTGAAGTGAGTAGAAGGGAAGGCAAAAGGATTGAGGAGACAAGTAAGAGAGAGAGAGGGGGGGAAGAGAGAAAGGTTGTCGGGAAAATGACCGAGTGAGACGAAGAAGAGAGTGATAGGATGGAGAGAAAAGTGGGGAGTGAAAACAGGGAGAGAGATAGAAAATGAATTAGAAGGAGTGAGACTGTTGAAGTGGTGGAGAATGTTGATGAGAAAATGGAAACAAAAGCTTTAGAACCGAAAGGAGGAAAATATTGAAGTGAGATGGGGGTGTAGGCAAAATGCCCGAATGTTTTAAGAGAGTGAGAGAGAGAGAGAGAGAGAGAGAGAGAGAGAGAGAAGGATATAAAGAGAAGATAGAGGTAGAGGAAAGAGTAGTAGAGACAGAAGCTCTAAAGAGAGAGAGAGAGAGAGAGAGAAATTGGAGAAAAAAGGTTCGAGTAACACTCAGAAGACAGATAAGACGATGGAAAAAAGACTGCGTATAGTGAGAGGTAGAAAAGGGAGAAAAAAAGGAAATAAAGAGAGAATAGAGGTAGAGGGAAAACGTGGCGAAAGAGTGGAGATAGAAGCTTTAAAGAGAGAGAGAGAGAGAGAGAGAGAGAGGATTGCAATGCAAAGGGGGTGAAGAGAAAATGCTTGAGTAAGATGAGGATTGATTTATTACAGTTTATCAACCTTTATCAAGCAGGTTATTTAAAACCGGAAAATATTTATAGATTGTAAGAATTGTTTGGGGATAATAATGTTTTACTAATACGTCCTACTAATGACCCCATAGCTGTGGGTGGATTCATAACTTTCCAAAAGGTAGTTGCGCATAAGTGAATAGAACGAATCCGACTACAGTTAGAACCCGGCTCTTTGATTTCCAATTTTAAGCTGTCATTACACCATCCGCACATCCAACCTTACAGAACCTGGTATTCCCAAGCGGTCACCCATCTAAGTATCGTCCAGGTTCGACGTTGCTTATCTTCGGTGATCGTACTAAAAACGCGGTTTCAACGTGATATGACGGAAAGGCGAGTGACACAAGGAAAAGTGAGAAAGCGATAAGATTTAGAGAAAGAGTGGGTGAAGAGTGAATGGTGATAACTAAAGAGAGTGAGAAGAGGTGTTGGTGAAAGAGAGAGAGAGAGAGAATGAAAGGGAGAGAGATACAAAGGATTCAGAGAGAAAATGTGGAAACACAAAGAGTGCATAGAAAATGCTTAAGTAAGACATGAAGAAGAGAAGTTGATAGCAATAGAGAGAAATGATTGCGTGAGAGAGAGAGAGAGAGAGGGGGAGAGAGAGAGAGGGAGAGAGAGAGAGAGTAAGAGAATTAGAGAGACAAAGTGTGCAGAGAGCAAAGCTGGAAAGACGAAGAGAAAAAGACCAAAGTGAGACGCAGAAGGCTAGGAGATATAGCACAGAGATAAAAATGAATGAGACGAGAGAGCTGGGGTAGAGAAAGGTGGGAGAGAGATACGAGTTCGTTTATGCATATTAATGAGGTTATACGAATGACCTCGCTAATCAGCCAGTGGAGCCAATTCTTTCCTTTCCAATCATAACGACCCGTTTTAAAAGCACTTTATGCAACATACATTCTCTTAATTCCAGAAGACCACCAAACAGTTCGTATACAAGACTAACGATAAATTATTCCTATTTTTCTTTAACAAAAATCACTATCTATATTTCTGAGAGGAGGCATTATGTACACTATTTACATTATTCGGACCATTGTTCTCATCTTTGTCGCCATATTTATTACAACGTTTCAGCCGTTGTACGCTCCGGCCTTCTTCAGGTAGTTGGAATGTCGAACTGAACCCTTTATTTCGCTCACTGGGGTAGACTGTTCTACTTCCACGTGCCATGTCTAATGGATGTCAGTTATCAGTCATCTCCTGTTAATTCCCCTCTCCAAGTTCTTCACTGCCTTAACCAGGTATTGAACACACAACACTTTGGGTCTTGTCACTGGATCTAACTAACGCCTTTATCCACTGTGCCATGTGTCCTTCAGGACATCTGTATATCAGGCGTGGCTGACCACATATGGAGAGAAAAGGGAGATCACCGCCCTCTGTGGGATCATAGACAAAGAAAATCATTGGAAAATTCCTAAACTTAAGGAATCAGCACATATGCTAGGCGACAAAAATCTCTTGAGTCGACCAGATATAGAAATGAATACAAAATGGGAACCAGTAATATGGAGTGCCAGAGAAAAGCGATAAAAATTGCAATATGAGCTCTGGTAAAAAAAAACATGGAATGATAACAGCAAAAATTGCAATATGAGCACTGGTAAAAGATGGTTGCTGAAGATATTAGGTTTATAATACCCAGAAATTCATACACAGGTATCCTCAAGGACACATGGCACAGTGGATAAAGGATGTTAGTTAGATCCAGTGACAGGACCCAAAGAGTGTGAGTTTGTCGGATTTAGCTCCTCCTTAATTCCCTAATTGTCCACTAGGGGTCGCGCTCCCTACACTATAAATACTTGGAGACTTCTTGCCTCGCTCTCTTTTTCACTGTGCATTTCAGCGGACACATCTAAAAGTGTGATCTCTCGCAGAAATCTGCGTTTTGCCCACTTGTGGGAAAACGCCATGAAACACACATACACGTACGTACGAACATTCACCAAAATACAAGCTCTTTACGTCCACACACAAACACAAATATTGATGTCTTTGTCACCAGTAAATTTGTTGTTTAATACATATATTTGTTGACATATATATATCGGTCTTGTTGGTTTTCTTTACTTCTTCGGTTGGACTCAACTTGAGTCCGCCATGTTCTTGTAGTTGAACCTTCTTCTAGCAGGAATAAACATCACGTGTTCCTAATTCAACAACACGTAAATACACCCGGTCCTCTACAAATTCAATATCTGGTTAAGGCAGTGGAGAAATTGGAGAGAGGAATTAACAGAAGATAACTGATAACTGATATCCATTAGACATGGCACGTGGAACTAGAACAGTCTACCCCAGGTTCAGTTCGACATTCCATCCACCTGAAGAAATCCGGAGCGTACAACGGCCGAAACGTTGTAAATATGTTGAAAAAGGTGAGGACAATGTTCCGAAAAATGTAAAAATCTCTTCTGTCGTGAAAATGCTATAATTTAGTTTATTGTTGGTAGTTCTGACTTACAAAGTGCGTCAGGTATTTGAAAACAAATTTTAATTTGAATTAATAAGAGAAAAGAATATATTTTATAGAATGTCCTAGATACGTTCTTAAATCTATTCAAAAACATGTTTTTATTTTATTGTTTTATCTTCCGTGGAAGGATCAGTTTAATATGTACTAGCAGTAGAGCCCGGGGATGTAACAGTAAGAGATAGATCAAGTATCGACCATCATAAAGACTGAAAAATAAAATTGACAAAGATTATTGTTTAAGGTTGACGGACACGCATGTCTTAATTAGTTTTTTTTTGTTTTGTTTTGTTTGTTTTTTTTTTGTTTTTTTTTACGAATTGGTCAAACCCAAACTCAAACAAAAACATTGTTTTCAATCGTTATGAGTCTACCGATTGAATAGAATTTTATTATAAACAATTTTCTTGTAAATGGAATTTTTAAAGCATTCTGAATGTAAAAATAAAGAAAAAAAATGTGCAAGACAATAAGAAACACTACCTGCCAAAAAAAATGTGAAGTTTTGTTGAAATCGGTTGAAAAATGTAGGAAATCCGATCCTATATATAAACGAACACACACACACACACACAAACAACCTGGGTTTTATAAGTATAACTCGATATGAGTTGTCCCCCTTTCATTCTCGCGATGCCTCTTAATCATGTTTTCAAATTGATTTCGTGCAAAAACACTTGTGTTTTTCCAATTTTGGGCGCTGTCAGAACCACCGCAAGGTAATTTTACGTAGTCCTGTGAAGTTTTGTTGAAATCGGTTGAAAAATGTAGGAAATCCGATCCAATACACACACACACACACACACACACACACACACACACACACACACACACACAACCTGGGTTTTATAATAAGTATGATTTACATAGTAAACTGGACCCCCTCTTATTAACCTTTATAAAATTTAATAAATAACCTTTCTTTGTGAGTGTGTTTTTTAAAATCGTGTCATCCCCAAGGAAGAGGATAATGCCACTAGGACGCTGCGGTAGGGGTGTTAGAGGGAGTGAAAGAGAAAACTTTACTGAGGAGGAGAGAAGAAAGGACAATAAAGGAACGCGGTTCAGCGAGACAGAAAATGGCGACTGACTTTACGTTTTTTGAAAAATCTAAGTGACAGGGAAGCAAGAATCAGAAGTGAGTACCCCAGTGCAAGAAAAGAAACTTAGAATAGAAGTGGTGGCTGTATCAAGCTAGTTCAACAGAAAAACAATGAGACCTAGTTGTACAGTCACTAGATTCATGTAGTCGAGACAATAGTGGAAAAAGTAATCAGGACAGTTACTATGAACAATATTTATAAGGACGGTATATCAAATCAGTGAGAAAGTGACTGATGTCAAAATGTCAGGTCAGGATCGATTACATTACAGATCTTTCTTTGAATTTTGTCAAGAATCTAAGGATATACAGCAGAAGCACCAGACCGGATATGGTAGCGTTATTCAATGCATGGACGAATGTTAGATTTATAAATGTGCAAGATGGAATCTGGCAGGAAATATTTTCTCGGACGACACGACACGAATTTCCTATAACTAGACGCTGCAATTGATTGTATATAGTCGCTTCAATTCATTTCAGTGGGAAACGTAAACCCAAGAAGGCGTAGAGTGTTGATCCCTTGGAATTTCGTATCAACCATGCTGATGAAGAACAGAAAAAGGTTCTCTGTGGTAATTAAATTTTAGAGGTGTTCACATTTACAAGTCATTTCTTGCCCCAGTTAACCACTGATTTGTGGCCCTTTTCGAGAGCAGTTGCCAGGATTACTTTGTACGATCCCTCGGACTTTCTACTAAGACAAGAGTAAATGGTTATGTCACCTGCATAAATACCTAGTTGGAAATTGATGACATTGGGGAGGTTATTGTTGAAGATCAAAAACAGTTTAGGTTAAAAAATAGAGCCGTGGGAGAGGCGTTAACTCAATATAAACGTCATTAGTTTCAATTACAACCTTGATGCGGTTTCTAAAACGATTGCATGCATCGATCAGGTATTCATTTATTCATGATGGCTATGACTTCCCCGATAGCAGCCTTACAGGGAGTCATTAGTATTGTGGGCATGTCTGTTGGTCTCCTTCTCATCGACGCTCCAGACGTTAATAGTCCACAGAGTTAAAATTAGGACAACAGGTAGGCCAAATATTACGGGTAACATGAACTTGAAAAACGTTCGGGTAGTCGCACCTGAGTCTTGTCTGCTATGTGAGAGGTGGCGAGTATTTCTGGTACATATACACCCCCCCACACACACACTTCGAGCTACTTCCACGATCTAAGGCTTGATAACGATGCACCGCATGTCTGATTGACTCCAAATCATGGAGTTGATTAGCAATAGCCGTCATTGATTTTCCGGAGTTCTCGTCGATGATACCCTGGAATTAATTTTGTTTTTAATCTTTTGGCCATGTGATACGCGTTCGTGTCAGGAGCCTGGAGCTCTTTTCTCATCTTAAATAGGAAGGATCTGCTGACATTTAAAGAAGTTACAATATCTAAATCTGCGTGGTTGACGGCTGAAGCCACGAGAACAACATGCCTGTTCATGTCCTGTGTTAGAGTCCTGTGCTGACAAATGAGGCAAGATATTTTAGTTAAAGTTGGTCCCATAGCTTTCTAAAGATGTGTTCTCAAATACCTGGCGCGAACTCTATTCGTTCAATCAAGTTTGAAATCCAAGGTATTAAACCTAATCCTACAGACATGTTTTATAATAGTCTCGTCAGATCAAGATTTTCTTATGGATGCTATGCATGGCGCCAAGCTCATTGAGAAATGTTTCAACTGTCAACTGTATACAACTGATTTCTTAGATCAAAGATTAAAATGGCAAATGAAACCTTCGTGGACAGGCGCTACAGAATAACAAAGATAATCAAATAGTAGAAACCACACCACTTGAGGAGTTTCAACAGCAGCAACTAAAAAGGATAGCAGATCTAAGTTGAAGAGAAAATAATGACATAATTAAGATATTGATGCTCTATACTAATTCGAAGAGGTTAGGAAAGAAAACCCTGTAATGATAGAGAAATAAATAAAAAGAAGATCAAAATACCCAAAAATAGATGGATAATAAAAATTGCCAAGCGAACAAAGCCATAATTCGACCAACCAATCAGAAAGCTTTCATATCCAGCATGTAAGAAATGAATTAAACAAACCAAGGAGACCAATATTTCTCAATTTCTAAAAAATAGTTCGACGAAACAATCAGAAAGCTTTCACAACGAGGATATAATTCCGCAGCCAATGAGAAACGAGCAACCTTTTTTTGAAACGGATCTATAGATGTGTACATAAA